CAATGGCAAAGAAAATGGCGACTACTATAGCACATTGGGGTTATAGAGGGATGGATTTGGGCACATGCATCGCTCCAAGCAAATGGCTTAGGGCTTTGGTTGGAAACCTACTTGAAGGTCCATCAGCGGGGCTATCCATCTGGGTGTTGCGTCCAGGAAAGTTTGACTCAAATACCCATAAGGGGGGACCCCTGTGCGTTTAGCGCTACAGGGAAGGGAATCATGGTCCTCCTTCAGTAGATAAAATGTAGAGTTCCCCTAAGTAGATAGAATACGAAGTTCCCCAAGACCTTCATAAGATCCCCAAATTATGACCTATATCCTCCCTAATTACGATGACAATGCTCGCCTATACAACCCCCGTGTTCTCCCTTGAAGGAGTTTCGACTATAGCTCATACTGAACCTACCCAAAGGGGATTAACCCTAAACCCTTAACCCTAACCCTAAACCTCTGTTATACGAATCTAAATGGCATCAGATCAGTGGGCAAGGTCATAGTTTCTATGGGCAAGGTCATAATTTCTGTGTGCAAGGTCATAATTTCCGTGGGCAAGGTCATATCTTCTGTGGGCTAGGTCATACTTCATGTGCGCAAGGTCACTGTGGGCAAGGTCAAAAGTACCTTGCCCGTAGAAATTATGACCTTGCCCAACGAAAAATGCTCTTGCCCACACAAATTATGACGTTCGTGGTCTGCTGCAAGGTCATAATTTCTATGGACAAGGTCATTGCGGGCAAGGTGATCTGTGGGTAAGGTCATCTGTGGGTAAGGCCGTTTGTGGGAAGGGTAACCTTTTGGCAAGGTCATCGGGCTCAAGGCTGGAGACCTAAGGTTCAGGCTGAGGTTTACCCTTCAGATTCTCCGCTTTTGCGGTTAGAGAATCTCGTCCTTGCTCTTCGAATTCGCTTCCACGGTTAACCTGTTATGCCCTAAAGATTCACATTCTCAACTTTTACGGTCAAACGCCCTAAGCCTTCAACTTCTCAGCTTTTACGGTTAAATTAGCAAAGTCGCCGCTTTTACAGTTAGAGTATTCGGCTCTTACCCGTCAAATTCTCAATGTTTACAGCCCCCGCCTTTACAAGTGCGGGGCTTCGATGTTTAGGGTTTGCTCTGTAGGGTTCGCTGATGTTTTTTTGAGACTAATATGTTTTCATATGTTTCCATAATTCTGTGAGACCCAGTGGGCGGGTGTGTATTTTCCATGACTTTTGACACTTGCTCTTGCAACGAATGCTTGGTCTTGAGATGCTGAACCCTAAACCGTACGTAAACTCCAAGCCTAAACCCTAAATCCTGCACAATTAGACTTACAGCGAGGCCGGCGCCACGAACTCGGGGTTCGGCGGCGACGCACACCAGATCTCTTCAAGACTGCGCTGAATCGCGGCTTGCAGGGTCGGAGGGACTTAGAATTTAAAAAAGCAACAACTATATCATAGGGCTATAAAGGGGTTATATGGTATAGATAGGGATAATGGAAAAGAAAATGGAGACAACTATATCATATAGAGTTATACAGGGGTAATATAGGGGTTCTAGGGGTTGAGCACTACTATAATATTAGGGTTTAGGGTTTAGGTCAGGGAACATTTCAATAATAGAAAAGAACATGGAAGCTACTATAATGGCTAAGATTGAATTCAGGTTTAGGGTCAGGCGGACGTATGGAAAGGTTTAGTCAGGGTTTAGGGTCAGAGGGATTCAGCAGTAATGGAAAAGAAAATGGAAACTACCATGGCAGGATCGGGCGGACTTCGTAAGTAGGTTAAATCATGGGGATAACTGGGGTAATTCCATGCGCCTGATAGGGGGTTATAGGTATACATCTGCCTTATAACCCTAAAACCTAAGCCCTAAATATAAGTATACAAATTAAGTGCCTGACCCTTGTTGGCGTTGGGGTCTTCGGTTCGGTATGGGTTCTGAAGACGTACTAGGGTTTTGGGTTTAGGGTTGTCCCTTAGTGATTAATTCCTTCCCCCTACCATAAAAACCACCCATCCTCGCCTGGTATTAAATACTCCCGTGGTGGTATATTAATATATACGGAATATTCGATATCAGGGCAGGTGCGGTGGTTCAATATTAGGGGGGGTTAAGGCCAGCATTCCCTATCCGCCGACCCCGGCCTGGCGGGGCGTGCGCACAGTGAAGCCTCTTCCCCCCACCCCCCCACCCCCCTTATCCCCACCAGAATTCAACTAAATTCTTTCTTTTCAATCATTGAAAACTGTCAGGCGTATCCGCCCCGCCCGTTTTGGTTGCCCGGCTCCTAGGCCTCCGACCAGCCAGCCCAGTCTCTGGACCCCTGACCCCCCCCCCTTACCCCTCCCCCCTACCCCCACCCCTCACCCTCCTATGCCGACCAGAATTCAACCAAATTCAAATCGTTCAAAAGAAAGATTAGGGGGGGGTGGGGGGGTGGGGGTAAGGGGGAGGGGTAAGGGGGGGGTCAGGAGGGGTGCTGACAGTTTTGAAGGCAAGGGTGGGATAAGGGTGGGGGGGTGGGACCCCGCCCCCTACCCCTCCCCCCTATGAACTTGAACCACACAATCTCCCCCATCTCGCTACTGCAACAATTCCGCTCATGCATACCGGTTTTGATGGAAGTCTCTACATTCAAAGTCCTCGAGATGAAAGCTTGCAATAGAAACGTGAAGAAGTCGCATCGCATCCTCCCTTGACAGCTTTCATGCAAGTATAATGCTCAACACAAGTCAAGATTCCGACGTCTTTGGACTACTTTGACTACCTTTTCTATGCAGAACATTCATGTTGGCTACATTGCGGCGGGCAAGTCTTAGAAGCCCCTCCCCCTACCCCCACCCCCCCTATCCCGACCAGAATTCAACCGAAATTGTTTCTAACGATTCAAAACTGTCAGGACATATCCGCGCTCGTTTTGGTTGCCTGGCTCC